GGCCTGAAGGAGCTGCAGCAGTGAGTGATGCGGCCTGAAGGAGCTGCAGCAGTGAGTGATGCAGCCTGAAGGAGCTGCAGCCGTTTGGTCATGAAGTTGGACATGAACTCCAGAGTGATGGACCTGGAGACAGACCTGAAGAGACTTGATACTGGAACTGAAAATGTCTTTCATATCTTTGGGAATGTGAACACATATACTCACTTCATTTTTCAGTTTTATAAACATTTTATTACCGTTCTTTCCGGCGTATAAGTCGCATCAGTCCAAAAATAGCATGAAGAGGGAAAATAAACATATACAAGTCGCTTCAACGTATAAGTCGCACTTTTTATGCGTCACCGCTGACCTGCCACGTTTATTATGCATTTATTTAATGGTCAAAACAGCAATGTCACCTGGACGGCATGGCTCCATCCATCCATTGTGGCCGAAGCTGCTAGCTCTCCAGCGTTCTTCTTCCTGCACCAGATGAGTGAAGCGAACGTGCACGGGAGGTCTCGCTGTTGCAGTTCTTATAAATTTAACAAGATTAACACTTAAAATGCATTATTTGTTTGATATTACAGCAAAGGTGTGTCTCAGTTTAACTTTTCCTTAATAAATACACTTTAATGGTCAAAACAGCTTCATTTCACCTGGGCGGCATGGCGCCATCCATCATCCATCCATCCATCCATCATCCATCCATCCATCGCAGACAGAGCCGCTAGCTCTCCAGCGTTCCTCCTCCTGCACCAGCTGAGTGAAGCGAACGTGCACAGGAGGACTCGCTGTTTCAGTTCTTAGAAATTTAAAGTGTCAGTCAAAAATTGTGTTATGAATATGGACAAAATGTATATAAGTTGCTTCAGTGTTTAAGTCGCAGGACTGACAAATCTATGCAAAAAAATTGTGACTTATACGCCTGAAAATATGGTATATACTTTTAGTTTTTTCCCCATTTAACTTCATTAATCTCAAGTGTTTTTGTAGAAACACTAAAGATTGCGTTAAATTCCAGGTTGTCAGGAAACGGAAAGAAAGAACGCCAAGAGGAGGTGAAAACTTTATAACCCTCTCTAACTACAGTAACTTCTATCTATTTGGTGCTATTTCTTGTTGTTAAACGGGCCATACTGTCCATGTTTCTGCATAGATGACTTCTGTACACACAACCTACCACTCAAAAACCTGTTTTTCCCTAAACACAACAATCATCACAGCTTGTGTCTGACCATTACTCCTTCCTACGTAACTATGCAGGTTCTAAGAACGTGAGTCAAAAACAGTACAATTAATTCATTCAACCACGTTTCGTGTGCCCATTTGTTACAGGAGAATGGGAAGAGCCGCTTGCAGCAGGCACAGGAGGAGGTGGAGGAGGTGAAGGTGATCATGCTGGACAACATGAACAAAGCCGATGAGAGAAGTGGCAAACTGGAGGATTTGGAGGGAAGGGCTGAAGAGCTCCTGGAAAAGGTAGCAGTCTGTTCGAGTGGGAAAATATCATTATCCCCCTCCCACCTGTTGAGTTGTTTGTCAAAATGTCTGAGGGGTATTTTTACAGTGAATTACTGCAGCACGTTGCCCATGGGATTTAAAGTAAAAGATGCCATGTTGATATCCACAAATACACCTTAGGTGGAGCTGGAGAGGAAAACAAATGTACAATTTACATCCTGATTGTGTTAAATAGTGCTATGTTTAGAAAGGTATTTCCTATTGTTTCCAAAGATGAATGAAGCAGGCTGGTCTCCCTGGGTATGACAGAGGGAGTTCAGGACGTGCCACGAGGCCAATGTATGTCCGGGGGTCGCCACAAAGGTCGCATCATTCCCACAATGCCATGCTCGTCTTTGTTACACCGCACTGTCTACTTCAGCTGGTAACGAACTAAAAAAATCATAATGGCAAAGTATTGAAGTTAAAACTCAAGACATTTGAAACCCTATCCCAGTGTTCCACAGCATGAGTCAGGATACCACAAACAGGAAGAGGACATCTAGATTTTAGAGCTCAGAGGGGTTCATAGAAGTGATAAATTGAAATTCAGCTCAGGTTAGTTCATTTAGCTCTATTTGTTTTGATCACTGCAGTGCTGAGATGTTTCTACACCTGGATTTGAGTCCACGTGTTAAAATACATTGATTTGATGTATAGAGCGCCTCGTCCAGCCTGCAGAGTTCGGTGGCTGGATTGTTGCAAAGCACAAATCTGAGGAAGGTTACAAAAACGTCTCTGCTGTTCTGAAGGTTCTTCAAAGCTCAATGGCCTCAGAAGTTGGGCACAACCAGAATTCTTCCAAGAGCTGCTTGTTGGGCTACACTGAGCAAACTAGGGTAATGGTCTTAATGAGAAAGGTGAGCAAGAACCCAGATGACCTGACTGAAAAATGTTGGATTGTATACCTGGATTATTGAGCATGTACTTTGTTAGTTTTGAACCAGTTTGACATGACTGTCGACGAGGAAGAGGGCCGGCACCGGAGGAGGGGGCGTGCCAAAGAGACCATCTTAGCACCAACATAACTGGTTTGTTCCACTTTGGAGTAAGCCGTTTGGGGGAAGAATCAGTTTTGTTGTGTGTTTCCTTGACTCATGAAGCCTTCTGGATGGAAGGTGAAACGTTTCAGAAAAAAAAAGAAACTGTCCAGATGACCTGACTGAAAAATGTTGAATTGTAGCCGTCTGCTTTGTGATTTTACACCGTTATTTTCAACTATATTCACTTTTGTTTTTTACACGGTGTCTTCAGCTTCAGATGAGTTTTTACTGCAAAACTAAATGTTAATTGCAACTACAGTGTAGTTTATATCTTAACCAGCTAACTTGATAAAATGGTTAGGTTAGCAGGTCATCAGTTTCCATCATTTCTTCTGGATATTTCCATCTACACTAAACAAAAATATAAACACAACACAAGTTTTTGCTCCTATTTTTCCCAAGCCGAACTGTTTCTATGTACACAACAGGCCTTTGTCTCTCAAAGATTGTTCACAAATTTGTGTAAATCTGTTAGTGAGCATTTCTCCTTTGCTGAGATAATCAGCATGACCCACATCAAAGCTACCATCGACATCAGCGAGGACCCTCACCAGTACGCATACCGCAAGAATTGATCAACAGAGGACGCCATCTCCTCTGTGGTCCACGCTGCTCTCCCCCACCTGGAGCAGAAGGACTCCTATGTTCGTATGCTCTTTGTGGACTTCACCTCTGTCTTCAACACCATGATCCCCCAGACCCTGATGAACAAACTACTCACACTAGGACCAAGCCCCTCCCTATTCAACTGGGTCCTGGATTTCTTAACAAACAGACCTCAGTCTGTGAGGATCCACAACTTCTCCTCTTCCATAACCCTCAGCACTGGCTTCCCCCAGTGCTGTGTGTTGAGCCCCCTCCTGTTCACTCTGCTCACGTATGACTGTGCAGTATGCACCTACCTATCCAAACAAGTTTGCAGATGATACAGCGGTGGTGGGATGCATCACAAACAATGATGAGTCCAGCTACAGGCAGGAGGTGGAACACCTGGAGAGCTGGTGCAGGAAAAACAACCTCCACATCAATGTGAAGACGATGAAGGAGATGATCGTGGCCTTCGGAAGGAACAAACACACTTACAGCCCCTGAACATAAGAGGATCTGAGGTGGAAGTGGTCTCCAGCTACAAGTACTTGGGTGTACACATGAATGACAACCTCAGCTGGAGCAACAACACCACCAGCCTGATCAAGAAAGCTCATCAGAGACTCTACTTCCTCAGGTGACTGAGACGAGCTGGTCTGGGAAGCTCAGTCCTCACCTCCTTCTACAGGTGTGCAGTGGAGAGCATCCTGTGCTCCAGCATCAACGTGTGGCATGGAGGCTGCACAGCTGCAGAAAGAAAAGCTTTGCAGAGAGTGGTGAAGGCTGCACAGAAGACTGTTGGAGTCAGCCTCCCCACCATCACAGACATCTACACCTCTAGATGCAGGAAGAGGTCCACCTGCATCATGAAGGACCCCACTCACCCAGCACACACACTTTTTGACCCGCTCCCCTCAGGAAGGAGGTTAAGGAGCATTAAGTGTAGAACCACTAGACTGAGGAACAGCTTCTACCCTGAGGCTGTTAGACTCATGAATCTCTAACCAGAACAATCACTGTGCTGCCACTTTAATTGGTGATATGTCAGATTATCTGTGCTGCTGATTATTCATGCTGCTGATCTCATGCCTTTAAGCTGCTGTATTCATACCCATCTGCTCACTACAGACTCATGTTCGGGCTGCTGTTTAACATACCGTTATATTAGTGTTTAGCGTATATCTTGGACCCTTGTATACTGTTTCTTTTTATACTTTATATTTTTGCTATTTTTGGATGTAACTAGGACCTCAGTTTTGTTCCACCTCATGTACCACATGGGATGCAAATGACAGTAAAGAACCTTGAACTTGAATCCATCTACCTTACAGGTGTGGCACATCAAGATGCTGATGAGACAGAATGATTATTGCACAGGTGTGCTGTAGGCTGACCACAATAAAAGGCCACTCTAAAATGTGCAGTTTTAGCACAATGCCACAGATGTTGCAGGTTTTGAGGGAGTGTGCAATTGGCATCATGCTTCAAGCAACAATTTTTCAAACGTATTGCTTAAATTAACTTTCTGTGGCACTAAATAGAAAATAAAAAAATAGAAGATGCTCACAAAGTGATGCATGACCTCATTTGAACTCAGACTTGTTTTTTTTACACATTTAGGGTAAAAGATATGTTGAATTATTTAGCTTTGACACAAGAGACCTGCTTTGAATATTGAAAGGTTGTTAGATAACTTTCTAAGCCCATGTGACGTAAAAGTGCCTCTTGAACTGATCAGCTCATCTGTTTGTTTTTATCCCTCGGAGACCAGCAGGGAATCATGGGATTGCTGTGTCCTGCATTGACCTGGCAAAGTTCATCTTGCAAACTTTTAAACTGCTCTGTCTTTCACAGTTAAATGGAAGTCATTTAAGTATTTTTTCATCACGAGATAGGATTTACATGTTCAGTCTGCATCAGGTCTGGGTTTCTGTTTTCAACCTGTTCAACTGGATAAAATACCGTCTTTAATCGAGAGCAGAGTTTAAATGCTTCCTTGTGGGTGTGTTTGTTTTATTTAATATTTCCCCTCAGAGGATTATTTGTTCCTGAACTCAGTGGATTGCTGGCCAGCATGGATAATGTAAACCAGGAATCTGACGTAGTTTTAATGATGCAGTTCTGTGTGTGTGTGTGTGGGGGGGGGGGGGGGGGGGTTGTATTGTTTGGTCATTTTAATGGTTTGTTTCAGCTGTTCTTCTCCAGGGTGGAATGAATTTGATTAAAATGAGTTTAATTTCCTTCCATTATCTTTACCCTCTTCTTCCTTTTCGGGTTGCGGGGGTCACTGGTCCCCATATCCAGTGGTCACTGTGTGAGATTGCGGGGTACACCCTGGACAGGTCTCCAGTCCATCACAGGGCCACATAGAGACAAACGAGACAAACAACCATTCATTCTCTCACTCACACCTAGAGACAATTTAGAGTTACCAATCAGCCTAACATGCATGATTTGGTCTGTGGGAGGAAACTGGAGCACCTGGAGAAAACCCACACATGCACAGAGAGAACATGCAAACTCCATCCAAAATGGCCCCGGCCAGGATTTGAACCGGCGACCTTCTCGCTGAGAGACAACAGCTCTACCAACTGTGCCACCGTGCCACCAAGTTTAAATTTTTTATTATTATTATTTTTAATCTACACAGTGTCAAAATTATACAGTATATTCATCCCATCTTCAGAAAAAACCTCCAAAACGATCCGACCTTCATGCTCATGATGAGTGGATGTAAAGTCCAGATGTAGATGTAGACAAATGACACATTTGAAAACATCATTTTAAGGTTTCTTCATTCTGTCCAAGTTCTTCTTTCAAATTCTGTTGGAACTGCTGGTATGGAGGTCAAAGTACTCTGTTATTGGTATGGAGGTCAAAGTACTCTGTTATTGGTATGGAGTACAAAGCACTCTGTTATTGATATAGAGTACAAAGTACTCTGTTATTGATGTTATTTATTTATTTATTTATTTATTTTTTTCATTTAGCCTTTATTTATCCAGGTTAGTCTCATTGAGCCACGAGAACTCATTTTCAAGAGAGACCTGTTTAGGGAGCACATGGTGGGGTTAAGGGCCTTGCTCATGGGCCCAGAGTGGGGCGAATGAGGGTGGGGGCAAGTGTGGGTGTTTCACCTACCCCACCCACAATTTTGATGTTGTCGGGGCCGGGGCGTGAACCGGCGATCTTCGGATCACAAGCCCACCTCTCTAACCTCTGAGCCACCACTCCCCAACATATATATATAGAATACAGAGTACTCTGCTATTGATATAGAGTACAAAGTACTCTGCTACTGGTATAGAGTACAAAGTACTCTGCTATTGGTATAGAGTACAAAGTACTCTGCTATTGATATAGAGTACAAAGTACTCTGCTATTGATATAGAGTACAAAGTACTCTGCTATTGGTATGGAGTACAAAGTACTCTGCTATTGGTATGGAGTACAAAGTACTCTGCTATTGATATAGAGTACAAAGTACTCTGCTATTGGTATAGAGTACAAAGTACTCTGCTATTGATATAGAGTACAAAGTACTCTGCTATTGGTATGGAGTACAAAGTACTCTTCTATTGGTATGGAGTACAAAGTACTCTGCTATTGATATAGAGTACAAAGTACTCTGCT